ACTTTTTACAGTTGTGACCTGGTTCACAACAGAAAAAAATGTGGGCTTCACCGTTACTCTTACTTTTTAGGTTTAGTGTAGTGCACTGTTGAGGTTTTGGGGTAAAGTTGTCATCCTAAACTAGATTAGGTCTGGTGGCGTCATAAATGCAAGTTTCAGCTACTTCAATGTATTTCTTGAGCTAACTGTCATAGGAATTTATTAGTGATTATGGATTGAGTGAATGTGTCCTTTTCAGTATTCTCAGTCTAAGGCATTGTTTAAAATGAGCTTCCACCTTCTTCATGCCAAGGAAATTCTCATTTCACAGCCACAACATATCATAGCAGCAATGATATTAACATTAAGGCATATCTCACACAAGCGTTAAATCATCTCAAACCAACCATCTTCAATTCATATAGCCTTGTACATTCTGGTTTCCCTGCCAAACCATTTATTTGTACTTTATCTTGACTTTGTCTTTAACACGTTTGTGCAGCTTTCGTTGCACGTTTATGTGGCTTTCTCATGCCACCACAACCTTTTATCTTCTTTCGGGCATAATTTTCATGTCGTTTGTAGCAAGTGTTGTGGTGCTTACATTTTTGGTCGTAGATAATGTTGCATATCTAACTCATTTGTTGGAAGATGAATGATATTGGAAACTTGAGCAAGTACTCAGTTTGTTCTCTTTTTTTAGGAGACTTATTTTATTTGTTTCTTGCTACAGATATCTCGCAACATAACAACAAATGAAATGGCTAATGTCATGCGCTATAGCTACCTCAGGGGTGCTGGTGGTCGATTTAGAAACCCATATGATCATGGATGCAGGAAGAACTGCTCAGATTTCCTGATCAATGGCTACAATGAAGACGTGCAGGCTAGTGAAGAGCCGGCACATTCTGAAGGAATTGGGATGGTTCAAATGCCGAGGGATTCAAACTTGCAAAATGGTAATGTGCATACTCCGGGAAATGGAAATGGGCATATTGCTATAAATGTGCATTCTAGCAATGCCAACGCGCATCATGGCCACGTCCATTCTTCCCACTGCAGCCATGGTAACCATAGCAAGTCAAACACTGAGCGCGTTCCTTTGGGTTTGGGTCTTGGCCTTGGACGGAGTAGTGTCCGTGCTGTGGTGGCCTCGTGATATTCATCATGTCCGGTATAAGTTGAAACTGGTGTGCATTATATGTATTATAAACATACATCCGATTTCAGCTTTTGTTGGTCTATTGGACACTCTTTTTTGTTCTGAGGTTACAGGTTTTCCAATCCTTCCAAATTGCCTCATTTCGTGAAGCTTTTAGCATCTGTTAGATTTCACTTGGCTTTAAACTCGTAAATAGTTTCCGTGGATAACAAGAACTAAAACAATGGTTTCTTGGAAAAAGGAGCATTATGAGGAGAACTCTTTGAACCAAACATCAACCAAATGGTTAGGTTACTTGACTACTGTGGGCAGATTAATTGAGTATAACGATGAGATATGTTCCAAATGGGCGGCAATTGGCAGAAAGGGACATTGCCATCAAAATCATCCAAGCTCATTTCTTGCAAATATCTGTAATATTACGTACTTTTCTGTCTGCCAACGCGAGTATTTCTCCAACCATTACCTACGATTGTCATTTGGTACGGGTTGGTGGGTTTTTAAGATTACTTTTTCTTTAGTAGTCTGAGCAGAAACATAAATTTTTATGGCCTTTTGGGTGTTGCACACGACACTTGAAAAAATTGAATTGGTAGGTAAACTCAGGCTTCAATGTTAGGTGCAATTATATCCCCCGCTTGCTACTCTTACTATCTTCCTAATAATAACCCTGTATTTCAACATTAATGTTTGAAATTATACATTACGATAAAACAATTATTTAAATTAGAGTTAATAGTACTCGTAATTCTTAAGTTTTGAATCAAATTTTATTTTAATTTTTAATTTTTAAAAAATTTTAATTAAATCTTTAATTACTCAAAATTATTTTAATTTGGTCATTAAACAATTTAAATTGACGATAAATGTTAATTAACGTAACGTATAGCGTTAGTTAACATTTCATGTAATAGAATGAGAAATCAAAATAGAATTTTATTTAAATTTAGGATTTAAAGATGTTATTTCCTCAATTTTTTTATATTTTAAATATATTTTTATAAAATATTAAATTTAAAATAATGTTTTTATATTTTAATTGTAATGTAATTTATTTTTAAATGTTTTTCGTTTTTTATAAAAATAGATTTTTAAAAATTAAAATTAAGTTAAAATTTTCAAAATCTTTTCAAAAAATATTTCATTATCATTTTAAAAACAAAAAACTATTTTACATTAAAAAATATTATTTTATTAATAAATCAAATAGAAGATATTATTTTCTAACCCAAAAAATGTTTTCCCTTAAAAATATTAAATACCTTTTTCTTTTCCTTTTTCTAATATATTTTATAAAGAAGAAAAAAGGAAAAAAATAAAAATAATTAAAGAAAAATTGATTTTTTATATTTCAAGTAAAATGTATAAAATACTATAATTTAAAATATTTATTTAATTTTTTAGTTCGATATTGTTTATCACTAAAATGCTATTTTTAATAGAAAATAGATTTAAGAAATTAAAATTCAGTTAAAAATTTGAAAATCCTTTCAAAAATTTCATTTCATTTTTAAAAAATTTAATAAAAAGTTCTATATCATTTTAAAATATTAAGTAAAAAATTTATATCATTTAAAAAAATAAATTTATTAATCTATTCAAAAATCTATTTTCTATAAAAAAAAATTATTTGAATACCTTTTTTATTGAAAATTTTTTTATATTAAATACAAAATTATTTTTCAATAACTCAATTTCTCTCCCATATCAGATTGAAAGCAGTAAAGGCCGTTTTGATTGTTTATTATTTTTTATTTTTTTATAAATGTAAAATTTTAACAAAGAATATATTCAAAATAAAATTTTTTTAATAGAAAAAATACTATGAATGAATTGATAAATCTATTTTTAAAAATGATTTAAAAGTTTTTATTTTTTTTAAAGATATTGATTTCTTATTTAATTTTTAAATTACATAAAAATATTACTTAATTTTTTAAAATGATATATTTTTTTTCAAAAGGATTTTAAAAATTTTAACTTAGTTTAATTTTTGAAAATTATTTTATATGAAAAAGAAAAATATTTAACAAATAAATTAAATTATAAAAAATATAAATATGTTATTTTAAATTTAATATTTTATAAAATATACTTGAAATATAAAAAATTTGAGTTGATTTTTAAAACTTTGAAAAAATTTTAATTTTAGTGCTTATATTTGCCACGTGAAATACTAATTCATATTATTCACATGACATGAGTTAATATTTATTTTCAATTTAAATAATTATATAGATGAAAAATTAAAATAAGATAATTTTGAATAATTAAAAATTTCATTAAAACTTTTAAAATTAAATATTAAAATAAAATTTAACTTAAAATTTAAGGATTACTGCTACTATTTACCCTTTAAATTATAAAAACAAACTTTATAAAATAAATTGTAAAATCATAAGCTAAACCGTATTTTATTCCTAAAATAAAAACAATTATTATAATATAATACTATAATTAATCAAGTAAAAAGAAAACGAAATAAATAATAATAATAATCCATCAATTACATGAGAAAGAAAAAGAAGCACTAAAACGGCGTCGTCGTATATCATGAGTAGTATTGACCAGAAGGATTAATATTGGAAAATAACAATAAAAAAAGGTTTTTTTTTTTTCCGCCGCCGAACGAACCTGCCGAATAAAGCAGAAAGGACGGGACAAAGTGGACCCACATTTCCCTATTGCTCTTATCTGATACATCACCACCTGTCCCAATTCCTCGTCCTTTGCCACGTGGCACTCATCAAACGGCTTCAACCTCTCCACACTCCCCTCCTTGTTTCCCCTGCTTTATTACTCTTTCAGTTTCAGTCTTCCCCTTCGTATTTTTCTTTTTCTATAAACAACTCCTTTTTCCCACTATGATTCATTGATTCTCATCAGATGACGATGATATCTCTTTTTTAAGGTATTTTTCTCTCTTTTATTTTAATGTGGTCTTTATTTGATAGTGTGATCATTATTTCAAGAATCTTTTTTTCGTCCTCTCTTTGTTTGATTCCATAAAAAAAAAAAAAAAGATAAAATGAAATTCCTGATTCCTTGTCCTTTTTTTTTTTTTTTCTAAAAACACGAGAATTCAACTATCCTTAGCACTCTTTAAGTAGCGATTTTTAGTCTTATTAAGTTGATTTCGAACTGTTTTTGTTGATGACAGAACAGACAGGTAAATATAGTGTAAAAAGCTTGGTGATCATTGTTTCATATGACTATATATATTTGCATTTATTATTGTTTTATGGCTTAATGAGGTAACTTTATGCTTCATCCTTTAAATGGGGTTTTGAATATTTCTTCTGTTTCTTTTTTTGTTTTTTTTGTTTCCTTATGGGGTTACTTTGGTCGATCTAAATTAATGCTTCTGGATGAAGTATTCACTAAACTATTCTAAGTTTGATTTCGGGAGCATCTCTGTAATTGATTCTTTCAATTGTCTCTGATATTGATTTGGATGAATCCGTGACTCTGATTCTGTTTGCCTAATAAAATTTTTAGGAGCCAATAAGAGTTTTATGTGTTGGTAATGTTCAGATGAATAATGATAGCATGGATTTATATGCGTCCCACTCTGATTCAATGATTCTCATCAGATGATGATGATATCTCTTTTTTATGGTATTTTTCTCTCTTTTATTTTAATGTGGTCTTTATTTGATAGTGTGATCATTATTTCAAGAATCTTTTTTTCGTCCTCTCTTTGTTCGATTCCATAAAAAAAAAAAAAAATAGCTAAAATGAAATTCCTGATTCCTTGTCCTTTTTTTTTTTTTTTCTAAAAACACGAGAATTCAACTATCATTAGCACTCTTTAAGTAGCGATTTTTAGTCTTATTAAGTTGATTTCGAACTGTTTTTGTTGATGATAGAACAGACAGGTAAATATAGTGTAAAAAGCTTGGTGATCATTGTTTCATATGACTATATATATTTGCATTTATTATTGTTTTATGGCTTAATGAGGTAACTTTATGCTTCATCCTTTAAATGGGGTTTTGAATATTTCTTCTGTTTCTTTTTTTGTTTTTTTTTTGTTTTTTTGTTTCCTTATGGGGTTACTTTGGTTGTTCTAAATTAATGCTTCTGGATGAAGTATTCACTAAACTATTCTAAGTTTGATTTCGGGAGCATCTCTGTAATTGATTCTTTCAATTGTCTCTGATATTGATTTGGATGAATCCGTGACTCTGATTCTGTTTGCCTAATAAAATTTTTAGGAGCCAATAAGAGTTTTATGTGTTGGTAATGTTCAGATGAATAATGATAGCATGGATTTATATGCGTCCCACTCTGATTCAATGATTCTCATCAGATGATGATGATATCTCTTTTTTATGGTATTTTTCTCTCTTTTATTTTAATGTGGTCTTTATTTGATAGTGTGATCATTATTTCAAGAATCTTTTTTTCGTCCTCTCTTTGTTCGATTCCATAAAAAAAAAAAAGTTAGCTAAAATGAAATTCCTGATTCCTTGTCTTTTTTTTTTTTTCTAAAAACACGAGAATTCAACTATCCTTAGCACTCTTTAAGTAGCGATTTTAGTCTTATTAAGTTGATTTCGAACTGTTTTTGTTGATGATAGAACAGACAGGTAAATATAGTGTAAAAAGCTTGGTGATCATTGTTTCATATGACTATATATATTTGCATTTATTATTGTTTTATGGCTTAATGAGGTAACTTTATGCTTCATCCTTTAAATGGGGTTTTGAATATTTCTTCTGTTTCTTTTTTTGTTTTTTTGTTTCCTTATGGGGTTACTTTGGTTGTTCTAAATTAATGCTTCTGGATGAAGTATTCACTAAACTATTCTAAGTTTGATTTCGGGAGCATCTCTGTAATTGATTCTTTCAATTGTCTCTGATATTGATTTGGATGAATCCGTGACTCTGATTCTGTTTGCCTAATAAAATTTTTAGGAGCCAATAAGAGTTTTATGTGTTGGTAATGTTCAGATGAATAATTATAGCATGGATTTATATGCGTCCTGCTACAATGATAGATGGTGACCTTTTGTTAGCCTTTTGGTTTTTGCAATTATGGTACTGTTTGAAGACCTGACTCTGTAATGCTGTTACTTATGTCCAGTTGTGTTGGAGGGTGAAGCAGACTTTAGTCGTCAGACCATGTTCTATGGTTCTAAAATGGGGAGTAAATGGGTTTTTCTTCTTGCTTCATGATATTAATTGATAATTTATTAGACAGTTAATCAAATGGGGGGAGTGTGTTCAAGGAAGAGAGGCCAACAGGTTGTTGAAGATGGAATGCGTAGAGGGGTTTCTGGAAGGTATGGGAAAAGTGGTAGTTCAAAGTGGCTTGTATCCTCCTTTTCACGGCCCATGGTAGTTCACCAGCCTGGAGTGGCCGTTTGTCCATCTCTCATGGAATTATGCATCAATAAAATATGCGAAGTATGTGTCTATCACATTGGCATGTTTCTTCAAGAATTGTTTTCTTTGTGTTTTCTAAAATTATTTGCTGTTACTGTCACAGGACATTGACCAGTATAGTTCATTTGCAATGCTGCCAAAAGATATAAGTCAACAGATTTTCAACAAGTTGGTTTTATCCCATCTTCTGACTGATGTTTTTCTTCAAAAGTTTCGCGATTGTGCTCTTGAGGTAATTTTCCCCAAGTGGTTTAAAAATATTTCACCATGTAAAATTCTTTTATATGAATTTCATAGATGATGTTGTTTACCAGATTTACATCCTGTGTTGACAGGATGTTTGGTTGGGTGAGTGTCCTGGGGTGCAGGATAGTTGGATGGATATCATCTCTTCACAAGGGACATCATTACTTTCTGTTGATCTTTCTGGCTCTGATGTGACAGATACTGGTTTGGGTCTTCTAAAAGAGTGCTCAAGCCTCCAAACCTTAACTTTTAACCATTGTGAAAACATTTCAGAAATTGGGCTGAAGCATATCAGTGGTATTTTCTATTGCCTTCTTTTACACCTTGGTAACCATAGGGCTGAATCTATAGTTCATCTGATTCTACTAACATGACAACAGCTCTTCTAGAGCTGATGATAGGCTTTATGCTTTTGTCCATGATGTATGACATGATCTTGAATTTATCTTCGAAGTTTTTGTACCCTACATTTTGGATGGATAGTCAGGATTAGTGATTTTAGCCATGTTTAAAGTTCCCTACAATGTGCTATTAAATAAATGAAATGATATGTAACTATTTGCATTTTCTGGCATTTTTCTCTATTTTACTGTGACATATTACTAATTAAGAGTTACAATTCTTCTGAAAGTGAAGATGAAATATGTTTCTCTCTTTATTTATTCTCTGCAGTCGATCAATGATACTGAATAATTGGGGTAACAATTTTCAAGGTTGTCATTTTGATAGGATTTTGTGCTGGTTCTATTTAGTCAATTCATATTTCTTAGAAACAAAAACCTGAAATAGAAATATGGCATGCTTCCTGGATAGCATGTTTCTAAAATTGTTAAGTATCTATTAAATGTCTTGAAAACATTTTAAAAAAACATTTCTATGGAGCTGTGTAACTGTTTATGGTTGCAGACATTTGTTCCTTTATACTCTATATATGAATAGCAAAATAAAATCTTATATAGTTAATTAGTCATGCCTTTCTGTGATTAGGATATTAATGCAATAGTTCTTTGGATCAGCTCACTGTTTAACATTGTTTCCATGCTGGTCATGGGCATTATGTACCTTGATATTGTAGGCCTAATGAACTTGACGTCTTTGAGTTTTAAAAAGAGCGATGCAATTACTGCTGAAGGAATGCGTGCCTTTTCCAGCTTAGTTTACTTGGAAAAGTTGGACCTGGAAAGGTGCTCTGGAATTCACGGAGGATTTGTGCATCTTAAAGGTTTGTTGTGAATGAATAAATTTCCTAATAACAATTTAGAATGCATGTGTTCTAATGAACTGTTAAACTTGCACTGTAAATTTTCCCACTTCAAAAATGTGCAGTTTGTAATAATTAGCATCTTCTGAGCACTATACCATTTTTTTAAGGGTAAAATACATCATTGGTTACTCAACTTCTAAAATGATCACCTAACTATTAAATTTTTTTATTTAGTCATTAAAGTTTGAGTAAGTGATTTTCTGATCACTTAACTGTTAGTCTCTAACAGCCTCTGATGTAGCATTTGCCACGTTAACTGTGGGGTGTCACGTGGCATTGCCACATCAGCAATTTTCTCCAAGATTTATAATGCCACATCAATAATACCACGTGGCATGTCAGATGATGTGGTAATAACATGTGGTCCTTAAAAGCTGACATGGCATTGCCACATCAGCATGCTGTTAGAGACTAATGGTTGGGTGTCAAAAAAGCACTTACTCAAACTTTAGTGACTAAACCGAAAAAATTAATATTTAGGTGACCATTTAAAAAACGCGACCATAGTTCAGTGACCAGTGGTGTGTTTTACCCTTTTTTTAATTGCTGGAATGAATTAATATTGTTATTTTACTCCTGAGAACAAGCTGGGAAAATGAAAGGACACCCTTATGATTTTTTTTTTTTCTTATAAACACCTTATGATGTTTATTTATCACATATTGGGAGGAAAGGGGGACGATTCTCGAAGATAAATTAAACCAGGATTCAATCTCTTTATTGCATTACAATATGACCATTATGTATGCTAGGATAGAGTGTCAGTTGGACTTCCTATATTAGCCAGTTAGTGCAACATCTTTTCCAGTCATTTTGTTGAACTCTTTTTCTCAGAAGCTCTATCATTTTTACCCATTGTCTTTTTCAGGTTTATCTAAACTTGAGTCTCTTAATATCAGATGCTGTAAATGCATTACAGACTTGGACTTGAAGGCTATTTCAGGTAATTTTGACAATTTTGTTAGGCTAATTGAAGACTGCTGCTTTTATACATCAGGGTTTTTTTTTTTTTTTGGTTTCTTTTCACGACAGTTGATCAAGCTGACATGAATGGTCATCAATCATCATTGCATGTTGTCATCAGATAGTTGTGTCACTGTATTCACAATTATTATTTATTAATGATCAATTGAGATTTAGCATATATAAGTGACAACTCCTCAACCTCCAAGAAGGGCAATAGATTCCAGAATTTTATTTTTTTTTGTGTGGCTTTACATTTTTCTTTTATTTCAGGGTTTAATAATCTGAAGGAGTTGCAAATATCGAACAGTAACATTACAGATTTTGGACTGTCTTATTTGAGAGGTATTTATCTACCTGCACTTTTGCATGTTAGTATACTAACAGAACAAACTGTTTTCCTTTGTGCCATGTAAAAGGATAGGACTTCTCTTTGTTTATATTCATTCATCTTGCCTTGAGTTCGTAATACATTGAATATTTCATTATTATTTCATCTTAACTGTTCTATTTCAGGCTTCTTTTTTTTTTTTTTCCATCATCTCACTTTAGGAGTGCATTTTCCCTTTTATGTTATCATCATTTGGGTCTCCTATTAATGGCATCTTAGCCTTCTTTCTATTGTGGCATGTTACCTATTTATTAGAACTAATAATCTATCATCTTAATAAGACTGGTTGACCTAAAAAATTTAATAACTCTAGCATATGTTATAACATTATTGTCTATGGCAGGTTTGCGCAAGCTTATCATGTTGAACCTGGAGGGATGTAATGTTACCGCTGCATGCTTGGATTCCATCTCAGGTACATTTTCTCGGTAGTAGCCCTACCAGTGATGCCTATGATAGTACAATTACCAGCTGCTATACATTGAAAATGGCTGTGCCTTAGATGTAATGATACATTGAACGATTACTGGATTTGAATTATAATAATTTTCATATGTTATGCAATTATGTCTTAGTTTTTTTCCTGCCTATGAAGTGTGGATTTGAATTGGAATAGGTTATTCAATTAGATACCGGAGAACATATGTTATGCCTAGTTCATTATAAAAATTATTCATTCTATCCGCAGCTCTTGTCGCTTTGGCATACCTAAATCTTGGAAGATGTGGCCTAACTGATGATGGATGTGACAAGTTTTCTGGTGAGTTGTATTTGGTATCTTTTAGCCCTTTGATATTTTGAATAATCACATAGAACTATTGCATAGCTAATATAGTTAGTTAAAGTATTTACCCTTCATTTGCAGGACTTAAGAATTTGAAGGTATTGAGCCTGGCATTTAACAATATAACAGATGCATGTTTAGCTCACCTAAAAGGTTCTCTCTCTCTCCCCCATGCTTCTGCTTTGTACTCCATTAGTTTAACTTTTACTGGGAGTGGACCACTTGCATTCTTTCTTTGCCTTGAACAACTTTTAGAGGGCTGTGCATGTTAATGAATTTTACTAGTTTAGCTCAGTGAATTGCACTGGTACTTTCCATAAAATATGGCAATTGTAAGACCTTCTTATTGTTAAAGTTAGTGGCTATTGATTTGGCACTTAGCTTATTCAGACAAAAGTTCTGATCTAACCATAATGATGATATTTGCAATCTTATGCTTTCAATTTTGACAAATATTATGATGTTAACTTGAGACCACAAGATGATAGTTAATAATTTTGGCACAGAGATTGTGTCTGAGGCAACCTTTAGTTAAAGATAGTGCTTTGAAAGTATCACAGGTAAAGTTTAAAAAGTCTGAAAATGCAATGCTAACTGATTTCTGGTTCATTCTTTGTATGTGATTGATTGACTATTAAAAAGGGACTCGTCCTAAATATGTTTCTTTCAATTCTACGGTGAACTAAAGAACCTTTGGTCCAAAGAGTGGACAATTTTGATTCCAATCCCATATATCTTTTATGTCTACCCTTATGTACTCGTGCTTTTTTGCAGTTCAACTAATTACCGTTGATTGAATTTGAATAAATGTGACCATTGATCCTTTGGTTCATTTTACAATTGATTCCGATGAATTTTTTGTTTCAGGCTAAAATAACAAAAAAGCCCCTGAACTTTATCACTTTATTTACAAAAGCCCTTATACTTTTATTGGACCCAAATAAACCTCTAACCTTTACTTTGTGCTCAAATACGCTCTTTACCTTCAATTTGTACCTCTTTACCTTCAATTTGTACCTTAACATAAGACATCATGCATGTAAGGCATCAGCATCTTGTGACTACAAATGCTTGAAGTAAAGCTTTTACTTATGTAAGGAGTCAATTTTTACTTGCTTAAAGAGAACTAGAAAACAAATACAGTGCTTTGTTTGAAAATAAGGGCTTATTTAGATACAAATAAAAGTATAAGGGCTTATTTGGGTACAATAAAAGTACAGGGGCTTATTTAAAAAAAGTGGAATAGTTCAGGGACTTTTTTAGTATTTTAGCTTTTATTTCAAGTGGTGATAAGTTTGTTTGATTTGGTATATCTTTTCTTTGCAGGATTAACAAAGTTGGAGAGCCTGAATTTAGATTCATGTAAAATTGGCGATGAAGGCCTTGCTAATTTGACAGGTTTTCATATCATGTTTCATTTTGCAGCTAGTTAAACTGTTATGTTGGATCTCCCTTAGCTTTGAACATTTTCATAACCGAGCTTATCTTTTGACTCTCTTTAGGCCTTTCACTCCTTAAAAGTCTAGAGTTGTCTGATACTGAAGTTGGAAGTAATGGGCTTCGACACCTCTCTGGTTAGTAATCTATCTCTTATCATCTTGCATCTGTGTGATATGACTAGTTTCAACCCCTGATATTAGCTATAAATTACACAGTTCACTGATCTATTTTGAAAGGTCTCTTCCAGTTAGGTTTGTTTGTATCTATAACATTGTTTGCAGATTTCATTAAGATGCGTTTCTTTGGGGAATCTACCTTCTTATTGAGTTAACAAGTTCTCTTAATTCAGTTTTTATGTACACTTGAAATGGTTATTTTACCTGGATTTCTTTACTTGTGCTGCTCCATTGCCGTTGCCTCCTGTATATGATGTTGCTTTGAAGGAGAAAAGGACATATTTGATACTTCCAGTTGTTCCATATATACTGTTGTTCATTTGTTTCTGAAAGTGCGTTTATGCCATACACATTGACACTGGATGCAGGCTGAATTTATTTCATTGAATAGAATGTATACAGATTTTGCGGCAATCATATTGTTATAGTGTTTGCTTCATCACTGACCTAACAAGGCAAAGCAACAAAGCTTTAACATTAGGGTTGTGATGTTTTAAATTTTCTATTTTAATCCTTGCCCTATTTCACATGGCCTTCTTTATTAAATTTTATGTTCTTGGTTTCAATACTTTCTGAAATATTCAGTACATTATAATGTTATACAATTGATGCCGACTTGGTTCTGCTTTATTAGGATTGACTCATCTGGAGACCCTGAATCTATCATTCACTTCAGTGACTGATAGTGGTCTAAAAAGGTTATCTGGATTGACCACTCTCAAGTCACTTAATCTGGATTGTCGCCAAATTACAGATGCTGGGCTGTTGGCTCTGACAAGTTAGTATTTTCACTTATTTATGTGTATCATTCTTCTAACTTTTGCATCTAAATTGGTGGCACTCTGGTGTGCCTTTGCTCCTATGGTTTGTTGAAATCGTATGGTTGTATCTTTTGGTTGAGGCAAATGTATTTTTTCTGGTCTTTGTGGACTGAAGAAATATGTTCTTTTTTCCCTTGGTTTTTGTGTTGACCACTATGAAATGTAGGATGTCTACCCTGTTTTCCTTGTCTTTACTGCATCATGATAGCCAGGTTTGGAGTCATAAATTTTGCTGGGCTTTCAGCTGTGAACATATAATTATATAAAAACATCACCTCTTTAGATGGAGAAATCTTTGAAAATAAATAAATAATAACTTAAAACTCCCATGGACTCTATCAATCTTTTCTAGTGTTTAGATGACAAATTTCTTAGGCTATATTTCATCTGTGGCTCTTGGTGTATAGTTGTGTATTACATTGAAACCAGTTCCATAGTGTTGTTTTTCACCATTTAGGTCTAGTATATCCTTCCATTGTTGTTTAAGATTCTCTTATAGATTGCTGCACCTAGATGCTTGAATTGAATAATTCATTTTTCTAAAGCTAAGTCAAATTGGCACGAAATTGCTGATCTGTTGTCAATTTTTATCACCTCTCTCTCTCTCTCTCCATCTTCCCATCATGTAATGTTTTAAGGATGTACACCAGGCATCACATTTTCTGATTTTTGAATGCAGGTTTGACTGGACTGATGCATCTGGATCTTTTTGGGGCTAGGATTTCAGACATTGGAACAAATTATTTACAATGTATGTAAAAAATATTGCCCTTGCATGAGCAAATAAAAATTGCAAGTTGCATGATGGTTGTAGCTGTTAAACCTTTGTTCCCTAGATGTTTTTGGTTTGCTTGTTTGAAAAACTTGATTGTTTTGGTTTGCTCTTCGCCTTGAAGATTGGATATGGACATACATACTTGAGAAGGTTCATGGGTAACTTTTGAGAAATACAAGGTCCCTTTAGTTAATCTATTGAGGTGTATATATCTGATAATAGGATAATCAGTAGGCTCATGAGCACTTCTAGAGCCGTGTTTATTAAAATGTTCTTATGGTCTTTACCAATAGGCCTTATATCGAGTTCAGCAAGATCATGATTTCAATGGAAACATTTCTTACAAATTCCATTTTACACATTCTATTTTTGTGTTAAATGTTCTAACTCCTGCTTGTTTTCATGCCAAACAGGCTTCAAGAATCTCCAATCCCTTGAAATATGTGGAGGGGGTTTAACTGATGCTGGGGTCAAAAATATCAAAGATCTTGCCTCTTTAACACTATTGAACCTTTCACAAAACTGCAACCTGACAAACAAATCCTTGGAATTGATTTCAGGTGTGTTTTACCTCTATTCAGGATTTTATGGTGTTGGTTTAGCATATTTCTTCTTTCCCGTTTATTGGCCATCGTTAATGCTATTGTTGAATATAACAAGCCTAGCCATGCTTGGAAGGAAAAAGAGACATACAAAGACAGCTACTTGTAGCTTGTATCTTTAGTGCCAGATTTTTTCATCCGGCAATAGCCCCATATGCATTCTTCCGCGGAACAAGTGATTTGAAACATTTTTCCTGTAGTCTAGTAACTTGGTCTATGACTAGTTGGTCCAGGAAATATGTCTAAACATGCAAGATAAATGGGCAGTCAAGAAAATGGGTCAATTGAGAGCTTATTTGGGGCCTGCTTTGAATGTGAAAATATTCTAATCCATAGCTTCCATTGGTGATGTTCTGATGAGCTGACTGAGATCTTCTAATCATGGGTTTTCATTTTCTGGTGTAAATGCAGGACTGACTGGGTTGGTGTCACTAAATGTTTCAAATTCTCACATAAGCAACGACGGTTTGCCGTATTTAGAGCCTCTGAAGAATTTACGCTCGCTCTCTTTGGAGTCCTGCAGGGTAACTGCCTCTGAAATCAAGAAGCTTCAATCAACTACCCTTCCCAATCTTGTCAGCTTTCGACCAGAATAATGCTCTGGGGGGAACTGTTAACATATGCTGTAAATAGTTGCTATCATCAACTGGAGGTAGCTCTCTCTACAATTTAATGAGTGTATTTAAGCGTGATATGCTCAGGTAAATGTGCAAATTATGTGGACAATCAATGTAAGGGGATTGTAAATATGCTTGGCTGCTGAATTTGGCAATTTCCTCTTCTTGTTTGAAGAAACAAATAAAAAAAAACATACGTACATTGACCTTCTATGTTTATTCAAACTGTTTTCTGCACATTGCCTCCCAAGTTTTTATCTTGAGATTTAAAACAAAAGGCAAAAACAAGAGGGCAAGAGGTTTAAACAAGAGATTCCACTTAGTTTGGGTAAATTGTTTCAGACCATGGCTTCAATTAGACGCATGCAAACAGAGCTACATGTTCGAATCTCGTATACAAGAAAGGCTAAATCTGAAAATGAATCCTCAGTCACGTATTGTACAACCGAATCTATGATCATCAATGCAATACAAAAATCTTTCTTCTAAAATTCTTAATAAAAGTATCCAAGCTGGTAATCAGAATGAGAAACTTGCAGCTGAAATGAAAAATCAATCAGGTAAGCAATCTATACATTATTTCAACTAAATTATGAATTCAGCCTGTATATTCTGCTTCTTTGAGGGGGAAGCTGATGAAGGTGAAAGCAGAAACCAACCAAAAAAACGGAAATCCTTGCTGCTGCTTCAAGTCGTCCCCAAACGTGTAAGGATGTATAACTGAACCTAATTACTTGAAAAAGGAATCACACAACTTTCAGCAACTACAAAAGTCTCTCCTTAGAATCTGGAAGTTTAAGGCTGAAGCTTGATCTAAAAGAAAATTGCAAGAAAACCTGCAGAACCAACGATCAAGGTTATTCCTGGCAATGAATGCTTAAAATAAATTGCATACCATTCTCCGAGATCATGGTAATGGAGGTGAATAAACATGTAATTGAAAGTAAGACCAGTGAAAGGAATTGGCAATTTCCATTTTAGGGCTACAACATGCAGAAAGCATATGAACAAAAAATATATGTAATATAGGAAACTTAATCAAAGAAAAGCAGGAGCCTTATCCAAAAAATAGGCAAGAAAGAATGGGAGGCGCATCAGGTGCAGAGCTTCAACTCAAGGAGAAGCTACAGCAGTAAAAAAATGAGCCGCAACAGATTTTATCACACAGTCAATTGCCATTTATACTTGAGAAAGAATAAGCTTACCGAACTAAAATGCAGGACTACTTAGACAACTTCAAATAATATTAAGCACTTTGGCATGCCTTTCAACCACCAATTTTCCTGGAAATCCCACTCAAAACAAAATGCAACTCATGCATGTTCCAATGCATGATAAATTTTTGAAACTCGCCGATGAAATAATGGTTCTAGTTGGAATGATGGAATCTCACTTTGCCACTTTTTAGCTTCATACATCTCATTCCATGCCTGTATTATCTCGTCAATCTTAAACCCTAAACCTGCGATGACAAAATATAAGTTATGCTTCTAAGGTTTTTGCAGATGTTAGTTGCAGATACAAAGTTATGATTTCCAACTATATGTTACCTTCAAGTGTGTTGTTTTTTGAGGAGAGGTTCTTTATCATAACAGCTATATTGGTAGGAGAAGCTCCAGCATGCTCAAACTTCTCAACAGCCACCTCCAAACATTCTTGCCAGACAGGTAGTCCTAGTTTGAATTCCATGATTGAACGTTCATAAAGTATGGTACCCCATAAAAGGTTTGTCTGAGCACTCATGCTGACAGCCTGCTCTGCAGCTTCATCTGCTGATATATGTTTGAATAAACCATCCAATCCCATTTTCTCCAACTTCTTTTGCTCCTTCTTTGATTTGGAAAGCTCACTCAGGCGTTGCCCTTCTAACTCCTCCCACATCTGCAAGCCCCTGTCCATATTTTCCTCAGCATTGTTATAAAGGTTCAGGACCTCCTCAGAAGGCCATGTTTCCAGATCAACATTGTTGCCAATTGCATAATACCAAGAAAGTTTTGCCTGCTCAAACTGTTGCTGTCCAAGAGCTAGAAGAGCTTCATAGAAATCTGGTTTGATTCTCAGTGCTTCTTCATATCTCTTACCCGCATTGCTATATTCTAATTGTGCCCAATCATAGGTAGTTTTGATCTGCTCAAGTATGGATTCTCTCGAACCGTCTTCTGTGAAGTACAACCTCTTCCTTGCCCTGGACATGTGAACACTTCCCCAGTTGAACAACGCTAATGCTGTCATCTCTTGGAATTTTCCAGCTGCTCTGTCAAAAAGGTTCTGGGCCTCTTCACTTGTAACTGTGTCCTCCAAGGCCTCAGAATATTCCTTCATACCAAGTTCATGAAGATTCAAGTATGCATCTGAATCAAAGCCAACATAGTTCTTGAACAGTTGGGCAAACTCAATTATTCAGTCATCAATGCAACATGAATCTTTTCCTATTTCCATAACTTTTGTGGCATCCCCATTTCCAGCTGCCTTACCTTGTTTTATGTCAAAATTGGGAACTGCCTCACGCTTAAATCTCTCATAGAATGGATCCTGCTCAGAATTGACTTCCACAACATACAGCCTCAGAGAACCATGTGATTCTGCTGATATTTCAGCCAATCTCAACTCTTCATCACTGGTGATTGTGACTAAATCACTTTCTTCATCTCTGTATTTGATAAGAACTGCTCCTAGGAAATCGATTATGAATAACTTCTCTTAGTTGCATAAGGCTGCAACTAATTGGCAACTGAGCCCATCTTATATCTTCTCCGAAAATCAACTTCACAGACTTCTTTGGTTCTTCTATTTTATTGCTAATTTTCTCCTTTACAACCAGTTTATCCTCAGATTTTCTTTCATCTATGTTTTCACCAACCTTCTCCTCAATTTGGTCCACGACCTTGTTATCTTCAGCTTTATTGATCTTCTTCTTGTTCTTCTTCTTGGTTTTCTCTTTGACAACTTTTGGAATTTGTGAAGCACTTGGAGGTTCAATTTATTCTGGAGGCAATTCAATTACAGTATCATTAACCCATAACCCTTTTTTCTCAAGTGTACTTCTTACCCTTTCTGAAATCTCTAATGCCATGATATTTTTTGGCTCCATGTTTAGAACTGTATTAACATCTCTGAAAGCTAATTCCAACCAATTCAAAGCCTCGTAACACCTTGCTCTTTTTAGGAGTGCTTTACCATACTTGGTTGTTACCTCTAGTGCCAAATTACACTCATGGATTGCCCTGGGGTACTCACTCAAACCCATCTGCATATAACATGCGGCCATATTACTTCTAAGATGGCACACATCTATGTGATTCTTTGGAAGTAATTTGAGGGCCTTCTCATATTTCAGCATTGCTCCTTCATGGTCCCTCTTCTGAAACAGTTTGTTCCCCTCTTCCTTCAATTCTTGAGACATGGCAATGAAAACTGCCGTGTCCTTATCATACACTTTGGAACTATTATCTCCAACTTTGCTTTGATTCACATTACTATCACCTGCTTGTCCTGTTTGCTTCTTGTTCTTTCCACTACGCTTACCCATTGCAAATCCAAAAATTTCTAACTACAAACACCGAACCCAAAATACTAGCACCGACTATATAACTTCACTCAAACTAGAAATTTCCACAAACAAATCAAATGAACCACAGCCAGAAGGAAAATCACTACCCTCTTGAACTCACTTCTCACACAAGTTAAAAATCCAATCCCAACAACTAAATCCACGTAAAACCTCCAGCAGGGCCAAAAGTAATAGCCAAACAACCTTAAAGCACTAAGTTTTCACAACTTTTACCATGAACAAAGATCCAGCAACCAATTCAAATACACTATATAAGACAAGCACACCAAATCAAACTCTTTTAGGCACCTAAAACCATTAAAACCCAGACACCATTTCCAAACAAAACCGCCAATTTTGGGTGTCAATCTACCAAAAAATTCCAAAAACTTAAATTGCTCCCTCTAAGCTAAAATGGGAATTTCCCCTTTCCACACCAATATGTGCATAACATAAATACCAGAAAATGAAAATATAAAGAGAAAAATAATATCTATACCTCCTCGAAAACCAGGAGTTGTCACTCCTTAACAAAGAATTACCAAATCCTAATTCAGAGAAATACAAAACAATCCACAATCCCTCAACCTCAGCTAAAATGAAATGACCTTCATGCACAACCAAAAAAATAAAGAAGAAATAATTTTAAGGCAAAGACTTATCTGGGAAATCATTTCTCAAGAATGGGGTATGGAAAATTTACTGGAAATCTGAAAAGAGAATGTTTTCATGAGAAAATGGATTAATGTGCTGCAGGGAGAATATGGAAGAAAACTCTGAAAAGAAAATAGACCAACGCCATTTTAATTTCAGGAAAATATAACGGGGTCTATTTTCGGTAGGATTCCAAGTTTCTTGGGAAAGTTTGATAAAAGGCCAAAGGCAGAGATATGTTTGACTAATGCCACTCCAGTTGTCATTAGACTTGTCACCTTCGGCAGGTTTTGCTACATACAATCCTAATAATTAAAAAATCTAATTCTATTTATTTAGATTTTGTATTTAATTTTTAATTTTTTATTATTAATTAATTTTTTCTTGTTATTATTTTTTATAAAATGTAAAACAAAAAGTAAAAAATCTATTAAATTTTAAGGGGAACATTATTATTTAAGATTACAAAATTTAAGGCAATTTGTTTTCAAGTGATAGAGTATATTAATGAAAAGTATTATAAAGGAAAGGAACATGGTTATTTGTCTATTTGATTATTATAACTTTTTTTGGATAGTTAATTATTTAAAACCTTTTATTCCCAACTTATGATGCCAAAATAAATAAATTTTTTTTATAAAAAAAATAAATTTATGATGGATTCAGATTAGAAAAAAAAATGAAAATCATTTGTTTTGATTATTTTTTGGTGGTAAATGCTAATGTATTTTTTCCATTAACTTTATTAGAGTTAACAGTAGTCAAAGATTATACATCATCATGATTAGTATCTTTTTTAATATATGAAGATCAATCATTAACTACTTAATGTTGATATTAAATAGATAACATCGTCAAAGTGTTATGATAACCTTTAAATATAAATATAGAAACAAATATAATTAATGAATAAAAATAGTAAACCAATTAAAAAGAAAACTAAGACAAAAATGGCAATAGCAATTCCTTTGCTTGAAAGTCAGGTTGGAAAAAGTCATGCCAAACAGACATTTGAAAATTCTTATAATTCCGTATTTCAGCAATATCGATACATAGATTATTTTTTCAAAAAAAAAAAAAAAGGACAAGAAATTGAGAGGGGTTCAGTGGATAATTCTTCTTTTTCCCTTCTGTTGATTATGAAAAAAATACTAATGTTGTCTGCCACTAAAAGCCTGAAAGGGTGAGTGACCTAGTACATGCGGTAAACGAACCTATGGTGGGTTCCAGACAACTGCCAATCACACAAAATAATAATAAGAAAAAGGCAGCAAGCAGTTTTCTGCTATTGCAAGGCAGTTCAGGCGACTGGCGAATTGCAAACTGCAAACTGCAAACAGCAAGACAGCTGTTCTTGGGAACTCAGATCGGAACCAAGTCTTTTTGTTTTTGGTTTAGTTTGATTTGGTTGGGTGGGGCGATTGTTTTAAGATTGGCTTCTTGCCGGGAAGTTGTAAGAAAGATTCCTACAAAACGTGACATTTACTACAGTTACAACTCACCTTGCCCATTATCCTCCTCCACTCCTCTTTGACCGTACAAGATCTGGCGGCTCCCTATTTTTTATTTTTTTACTGGGTAAATTTCAATGAAATTGCTTGACTCACCGCATTGCTTTTTCCCTACATTTTAATCCTTTAGCTTTTATCTTTTCATTAGAATAGCAATTTATTTTATCTTCGGTTTGACTTTGAAAGTTCAACAACTATGCATGAACAGAAGTTTCTTCGGTGTTTTAGGCCAATCAACACCAAAGCCACTGCTAGCTTAATTAAAAGTATTTTAAATATGATATAATGATACATATAAAAATAATATAATTTAAAATTTTATAAAAAATTACATATAAATTTAATAAAAATAAAAAATTATTATTTTTAATGTATTAACATAAATTATAGTTTAATAATTTCTATATTTTATACATATTTAATATAAAACAAATATAATATAATTACACAAATTATTAAATCTTATCCTCCTAATTACAAAAATAAGCTGAGAATCGGCTAATGTTGGGACTTTTGGTCCCAAACATTGTGAAACAAACGGTTACTTGGGCTTAAGCTTTTGGGACAAACAAAACCATTGGTTAGGTTTCAGTTCCAGCCCGTTTTCCCATTGTCACCTCTATTCATGACGTGGAGGTATATTATTGGCCAACCATCGTAGCGTTGTGTCACTTAAACCGCACTGGAAACAGACTTCGACCCACCTTCTTCTCCTTTCGAGTATTTTTGCTTTTTCTTTTGAGCAGGGTTCAAGTTATTGTTTATGTAAGGCTAGCATCTATAAGAAAAAAAAAAAAAAAGAATATGAGATTATTTATTAGCCTGGTAGCAGTTTTATGTTTCTTTTGCCGCAATGTCTTAGCTGATCAGATTTTCCCATCTCATGTAGGTAAGCCGACATTTCTCTCTCTTTTTTGTTAAAATCTGAAATCAACTTTTTAATGTAAATTTTACATATTTTTAGTCTAATTCATCTTAATTTTGTTATTTTGATTCTGGGTTTTCTTTAATTCTCTGCTTTTCTTTTTATGTGTGAAACATCGAAGAGTTGAGCTTATGAGGCTGATGACAGAACTTAAAATGCTTATGCTTATGCTTAATGATTTTGTTGGTCTTCTTTGTTTTAGATTATGAATGATTCCTGGATTAGAAGACATGCTACTTATTATTGTTAATGAGTTGTAATATAATGTTGTTGTTTCAAAGTTCCTTGTTTGTCCTAATAGAGAGTAATTTTTCCAAAAGAAGTAGGTGACTGAGTTATTTTTAGTGCTTGAGTGTGAAATAAGCACCAGAGACAGGAAGAAGCTTCAGTAGGGCCACAGCCCTTCATAATAAGAAAATGGGATTTGTGATTTTGGAATTTGATTGAACCCAGTGTTGTAATAGAATGGAGCGAACATTAGGTATGATCGTTCTTTGGTGGCCTGAGATTGATGCCTACATTATTTCTTGAAATTTTTACCCAACAGTATGATCAATATTGTTTATGATCTGACTAAAGCGATTTCTGCATCAGGAGTGATGTTTTTTCCCCAGTCAGAGAGAGTTTGCAATTGTATTTAGTTTTTTACTTATGAATGCCAACTACTTTTGGCTAATTTCTTTTATAGAGTTACTAATAGGTCTAGAAGTTGACTATTGATTTGCTGAGAGAAAATTTATACTAAGAGCTGATTGTAAGATAAACTCAGATATTATGGATCATAGCTGACCTGCACGGTGAACTTCAGATAGTTGGCTTATGTTCTTATGCCTGTGTATCTGTGGACTAATGAGAGGCTATTGATTCTTAAAATACAGAAAGGGAAAGTTGAGAAACAAAGTAATCCAGAGCCTGAATAAAAACAAATTAGAATGCACAGTCTTCTTGTACCACAAGGGCCATTAGAAAGAGCTATCAATGGTTATGGAGTGGTTAAGTTGCATTCTGGCCATATTAGGTGCCACTAATGATGATTGTTGTAACCAAATCAGTCTTCTTGGGTTTTGTTATTATATGCAAAGTTTCGATCCAACTATATTGAAATTGAATTATTGGCTGTGTCATAGTATTCTTTTCATTTAGTATTTAGAATGTTGGTTCTACTGCTTTCAAGTTTATCTTGGTTGCTTATGCATCTCTAATACTTTACTGAAACAGCTGGCACATTTGGCCGAAGTTCCCGTGAACCAAAGTACAAGATTGAGTTCCATACAGAAGACTCGCCCTACCATCCTGTAAGTAAGCTTAGAATTTTAAATATATTTTTGCTCTTCAGTCTTACTTTCAATAAAATCTGGGTGAACATTTTGAAGTTTCTTCTTTCCTGCTTATCGCTTCATATTCGATCCTAGAATTACTAGTTGTTGATTCACAATCATGTCCATGTATTTACAATATCAGTACATCATTCTCTACCCTCGATAAGGAAGTTTTTCATCTTGCATCTCCTCTTAGGTTTCTTCTTCTTTCACCATCCTTATCTATCTCATAAAAATTTTCTTTAAACATGAAAAAGGAGTTTAAGTTTAACAAGTGAGGCCTTGGTAGTCCCAGTATGACCCTTTTAGGATATTATTGTATGATGGATTTGTATAATGAACTGGCGTATAATACAGTGTTCTTTATAAGTTATAGCATCATCTGGATGTGCATGTGGATTTTGCCATTTGTAATGATCTAATATTGTAATGCCTATAATATTTTCCAGGATGATGATCAGGAATCTGTTGTCATGCCTAATAAAGATGGAAAGAATTTTTTATGTTTCTTGCCTAAGGTGGAGAAAGCCAAAAGTGGAAAGCCATTTACTCATCAAAACACTAGTAGCATGATTATGGAAACTGAGAAACGGGTTAAACTGCAGACGCCAGATGAACTACTGGAAGTACTGAAAGATCGATGCTTTATCAGAGTGAGCATCTGGTTCCTACAAACTCCATGTTTGGTGTTTCCCATATTTAATGATGTTGCTGTCATCTAACATTAAAGCAAATAAATTAAGAAAGCCTTTCTTCTTACTTGGTATCATGTGCTGTTCATTTCAATATCTGCTTACTCAATCATAGAAGTTTTATGCTCACGTATTCAACTCTTTCATGCAGCAAGAGGGTTGGTGGTCCTATGAATTTTGCTATCAAAAGCAGTTACGGCAACTACATTTGGAAGACGATAAGGTAGCCTTTAAGTGGATTTAAGTTGGTCGTATTTACATTAGAACAGGCATTTCTGACTGGTTTGAGGGTTCTGTCTGTGATATATCCTTCTGTAATGTAGAATATCTTTCTTTTTTTTTTTTTTAAATGAACTGCAGTAATATATGCCAAATGTATTTTAGAGCTGAACCTGTAATGGATACTCAACTGATGGTTTTGGGCTCTGAATATGATGTTGGCATCATTATTTGATTTGAGTAGTAATTTATATGATAGGCGGTAGGAATAATTGTTATAAAAGCTCCATCATCATCACCAGTTGCTATAATAAAAATGATTTTGAGTAATCCTTTGTCTTATTTAATACCTTAATGAATACATTAAGCCGACCAGTGGTTTTTATTAATTTCCTTTTGGACATTTTTTTATCATTTTTAGAATTATTTGGAATTGAAGATCTGATAGTTCATACAAAACATTAAGAAAAATTATATATGTTAAATAACCTTTGCAGGTGGTTCAGGAGTTTGTCTTGGGTGTATATGATGAAGAGGCAACTGCTGCCTTTAACCAGAATCTCTCTGACGTCTCCACGTTAAAAGATCCTCGTTCAAAAGATGCATCACAAAGGTGTGACTTTCAGAATGGTTTAAAAATTTAGATTGCACCTACTCATTGGCACTTTAATTTATTTTTACCAAAAAAGAGGTTTCAAGTGGTGAAAAGTAAACGATTTATACTGAATTAAGAGAAAAAAAGAAAAGAAAAAGACAACCTTGCCTTGTCTCATACAGGTATCATGCTCATCAATATACAAATGGAACCGTATGTGATCTTACTAATCAGCCCCGAGAAACTGAGGTATGAAGCAATAAAGTTACAGAAAGTTTATATGGTTTTTAGATTTTAAGACCATTTTATTGGTATTAGGTTTCCGTCTCATATTTTTAATGCTTTCCTATTTTTGTTTGTAGGTGAGATTTGTCTGCTCGGAGCCAAGAGCAATGATTAGTTCAATTACGGAGTTATCCACCTGCAAGTATGCACTTACTATCCAATGCCCCATGCTATGCAAACACCCGTGAGTCTCTCTCTCTACTCTTAAGTGCTAAGATTAGAACTATTGATACTGGTTCCTATAAAGCTGATTGTGCTTGTTGGGAAGACCAAAGATCTACCATTCAAGTGTTGAATAGGGAAGGGCATGTAAAGCGTTGACTGAATACTTCTTGTTTCTCCTAAATAGATGACACTGGTCTAATCACCTCAAAAAAACTTAGCATTGAGCCATTAATTGAATGGTCAATGAGCAAATGTTCTGAGATGCTGCCAAAAGTGATGGATGGGTATAATGCAGGGAGAAAAGAAAACCGTTAAGGGAACATACAATGCCGCTTTCTGTTTTGTGTAAGACAAACAGAAGGGTAAACTTTACCAGCTGTCACGCATCTTGTACCCTTTCACACTTGGGTCACAAGCTTGTATTTTACAGATTGGTCACGTAACTTTTGATATCCAATTAGTCATACTAACAAACAGCACTAGAAATATTAATGAAGTGTTGACAGGTTGTCAGATTGGCATCCATGGTTATCTAGTTAGAGCAAGGAACTCTCTCTCTGACTTGCTTGCGAACATTTAAAAAAAAAAAAGAAAGTGGGGTGGAGGGTTGTGTAATTTTTCTAGTGCCACCATTTAGTTTTGTATTTTCTGTGTTTATTTATTATTTATCTCAAAAAAAAAAAATATTTCTGTATCCCTGATTTTGCAGATTATTCCAAGAAGAGAAACCGGTGTGGCACATCATTAACTGCAATGTGATTCCAAAGGATTACTAGAATACCAAGGTTGATGACCCACATATCACTATGATCATGGAATCAGAAGATTAATCTAGTTATGATTCAAGAGAATAAATGTTGTAAATTTTCATACGCTTTTTCGTCGTACATTTCAGAGATAAGCCTTGTAGAAGTAAAAAAATTTCATTGTCAAATTAAGGTTTTTTATAAGAAATATAGAGAAAATGAAAAATTCACTAATCCAATTATTAGATGTCATATCCATATTTTTTACTTGATAATTTAATCGTTTTATCAATATTTTTTCATTCTTATACCTTTCCGTTATTTCTACCGAATCAAATTCTAAATTGATTGCTAATATCCATTTTAATTTTTTTTTCTTCCCTTCCATTTCAGATTACATTTTTTAATGAGAAAGAACTTGAAGCTCTACCATATATCTTTCATTGGATAATCCAGACGTTCGAAACGAAAATGTGCAAACAATTCCTGCATCGTTGAATGCAGCGCTCACCCTTTTTATTGGGAAAACATGCTGACAAATCTCTATAATCTCGACTGAAGAGTTGTCTTATTTGTATTTCCAGGCATGCAAACACATTCATGTATATATCCACATTTGGGCATTTATGCACCGATATTAATTTAAGGACAAGGATTCAATGTGAAATGACAAGGTTTTTCTAGTGCTAGAAAGAGCTATTCTGTAGCCTTTCATTCTAAATCCTAAAACACCTGAAATTATTGACATTTACTTACCTAAACTGAGGCTTGTATCAGTGGATACATCCTATTCACAAATGTGTACTAGTAATTGTTTTTCTCTGTTGAGGCCAAAAGAGTTAAATACTTTATTATGGCTTCACCTTCTTTTGTAACTTCAATGTCATAGTCTGATAAAGCATCTGCATTTTCTATGTCTCTTGCTAGTTCATCTTCCATCTCCGCATCCCGCTCTTCTTCTCCAGCAGTTGACGTACCTTCAACAGTATTGTTGTTACTCAAACTATCAGGATTCGCATTGTTAGGCTCTGAAGCAGGATTCCCATAGCTGTTAGCATCAACAGTGGGAAGCAGCCCAGATTCTGACAGCAGTCGGCTCATTGTTTGCTCCATTGTTTCACCATCCAGAACCGCAGCAACCACTGAACCCAAGAAAAATATCAGAATTCTACCGGGAAAAATCCTTGCTATAAATAAGTAACAGTTTCTGCAAATGCTTTTATAAAATTTGAATCCTCTTGTGCACTAGAAAGTTCTCACTATATATATATATATATATATATATATATCACAACTCACATCCATCCATGAACTTATCAACCTGGTACTTGAAGTACATTTCCCAAGTAAACTGGAGAGATTGTAACCTGTCCTTACCATGTCAAAGATATAATGTCTGTTATATGAAATTTCTATTTGCTCCAATCATTCTTTCGAGTGGTCATGATATATTTTTCTGACAAAGAGCTATTTCCAAATTGTTTAGAATGATAATAAGTAACAAAAGCCTAACCTTTCTCCTTTTCTTTCTTGCTTTGACCATATGAAACTTAACAGAGTTTAGCTGTATATCTGGCAAGTTCTAAATTTCTCACCCCCTACCATGCACAGACTCGATATGCATCATATTATTATTAAGTCATTCTAGTTACTAGAATACTTATTAAGTAATTCTAGTTACTAGAATATCTACTCTGGCAACAATGGAGTCTATGATATAAAGCGAAAAATAATTATGAAAAAGACAGTGCAGCAGTTTAGAGCCATTTCGTCATTACCTCTTGATCTGTCAAATCCCATGGATACAAGCTCTTCAATTCTGGCATCTGCACTTCGTTGTTTTCTTTTCCTTGTCCTTGCTTCAATATCAAGCTGTAGACAAACATGATCAGTGATAGCCAGATAGTCAATAAAAATGAAAATTAGGCACGTTTCATGCAAAAAGCAGCCAACCTGCATGACAGAATTAGTTTCTGGATTTGTCAAATCATCTAATGCTTTTTGAAAGTCATTCTCATTCCTTCGAAGGGCTTCTGCAGCAAGATTCTTTTCAAATCTGCCAAATCAATAAAGTATTAGTTTTTTCCATTAAAAAAAAAAGATAAGTCTTAGCTTTCCGTAAGAAAGTTTAGTATGCATCAATACTGTGGATGGTACAAAGGAAGCTTCAATACAACCTTTATAAACTGTCCTTGTTTTCATTTTACTTTCATGACTATCAAGTTATGATTGGAAACCTTGAACTTTTATTTTAAAGTTCCCGCCCAGAAACATACACCAAAATCATAGTCATCATAATATCACATTAATATGAAGATTTAAAAAGACAAACAAGAATAAAGGAGTGCCCTCCTCACCCAATGGCGACTAGTTCTGTCAATTTCTCAAGATTCACAGCCTTCTTCAGTGGTGTTACTCCATATTGTTTTTGTTCCCTGAAAATTTGCTAAGTTAATTATTTGTAAATAAAAGGGAATATGACAGTTATAACAGAAATAAGTATATTATATCCACATGATTTCCATTCTATGCCGAATATCATCCTCCCGCTTTTTTGCTCTCTTTGCCTTTTCCTCAAAAAGAAAATCAACAGCACTCCCAATATCTTGATTGTTCAATCTTAATGCTCTCCTTGCATCACGCTCCTTGAAGCCCATGCTCATAACATGTGATAAGGCTTCATCTGGCACTTGCAACTGAAATCAGCAGCAAAAAACTGGGCTTAATGTTGGAGGGCAAAGGCGTTATGTTAAGAAAATAGAGGTGGCAAAAACAAAAGAAAAGTGGGAGGGGGGGTTGAAAAAAAGGAGAAGCTGAATGTGGAAAAAGCAAAAGATGAGCACAACAAATTTTGGATAACCAAAAATAGTGAATTTTACCAGTTTAATAATATCTGAATGCATATAACCTTTTTAAACTATTGATATATGTTATTTCTATTAAATTTAACCAATATTTTTTCAGTAAATAAAAGTTGCAACTCCAGTCTTATAATTCTTGGTTGGTAAGATATGTCATCAGGAGCTCCCTTTTATTTTCCCATTGAGGCCAAACATAAGCCTGTGCTCAAGAGATAGCTGTATGTAGCTGATAAGGGTATATATGGGTTATTAAGAAGAGAGAAGCTGTGGTGACCCCTGGGACCAACCAGATCAAATCAGTAAAAAAAGGGAAATTAACAACAGTGTCCCTTTCTTTACAACAGAAGAAAGATGGAACAACTGGAACCAGATATCTGAAAAGAGCTAACTGTTTTGGACCATAATTAAACTAACCTGTGAGAATTTTGCTTGTGCAGAGGTCAGTGCCTTCCTAGATTTATCAAACTGACCAGTATGATATGCCACCACCCCTTCCAACAACTCCAATCTCAAATGTCTAAAAGAAAGTATGCAAAAGAGATTAGCATCACATTCCAACCAATGGCATTCTGACTAATGGCCAGAAACATAGGAATTGAGTCACAAAAGCAATTTTGCGAAGTACTCACAGTGCAAGCTCTGGCTGGCAACCAGCTTGAAGGAGTCTAATACGGGAAAAATCCTTCCCATGACAACGTTCAAGTCCTTCTCTGGCTTTTTCAAGGCGTATTCCTGCAACCGAAAGCCAACTGATATCTTGGAGCAAGAAATAGCACCAGACCATGTCTATTTGCAGTATTGGTACATTATCAATAAACTGCAAGCAAATGTATAAAGCCAAAAACGTATGAGTTATTGAGTCAAATCCAAAGAAAATTCAAATACGAATAAAATAGTTCTTTCACTTTAAAAAGCCAAATGAACAAGCAAGCAATTATTCAATACCAAATGCATGTTTAAAATTATAAAAGGATTACCTAAAGGCTAAAGCAACCTTTAGTTATTTACATAAACTATAAACTGAACCACAGCATTGGTTAAAAGTTATTCTGAAAATGAACCTTCTTTAAGTCTAAGAAAGAATGTCTCACCTCAAGGACCTTAGGATCACAAAGAGAGAAAGCCTCCTACAGGGAAGAAATAAGGTACTTAAATTAATTAATTCTCAAACTCACAAAAAAAGCATTTTACTGTATAACCATAGTATCAGCTTTCCTGACAAGAAATGTTCATCAATTGCTACTACAAGAACCTGGACACAAGCAAGAAAAAAATTGATGAAAGTAGAGTGTTGAAGTAAATGGAGGATGCTAGCATCTAACCTCCCCCATGGTGAGCACTTCCAGTGCATCTTGATACAGTTGTCTCCTAATTAGATTCTTTGCATTTTCATGAAGCATCAGACCCATCATCACAGCCCTGCACAAAGACAATTCATATCATACTTTAGTTGTGAAAATGAGAACAAATGCCTTAAAAGGCTAGGAATATATACCATACCGCTGATCAGTCTCAGTTCCTAATTGTACTTTTTGCCCTCCCTGGTTTTCAAGTTCAATATTGAAGTCCTCGATTGGTAATGAACCATCTACATGTCTCTTGGAAAGTGCAGTGGCAGCAACCCTGCCAAGAGAGATTACTATGTGTTAGTAACTGGTGAATTTGCACAATAATATGTAATGCTAATCAGAAAATACACGAAACGAATTATTTTCCCAGCCCACCAAATCCTGAAAAGACGATCATGTGATTAACTCAGGAAAACTATAAAGTTGTCACCTCCATAAAAAAATTCCTTTTTCATTCAGACAAACATGGCAAGCAGGATTTTAAACACTTTGGAAAGATAAGTCCTTGCTTCATCTAAAAAGTTCAAAGAGAGGAAGACACGGTTTTGGAGGCATACCCCCCACTACAAATAACAAAACTGACACTTCTCCAGTTAAAGCCTATAGGTTCTCCAAATTAGACTCACATATCATATCAACTAAATGTAAACTATAAAGAACCAGCATCTCTCAACACTTCAACATGCTAGTATTTCACACTATCAATTCAATCATAGACTTCAGACTACATTAAACCACATTGATTTTAAGACAAAACATTATATCAATTCCATCAAATATAAGAAAACAGCAAAACCAAAATAACTCATTGAACTAACTACGCTGAAAACAAAAAAGAAAGAGATTTCCATGTTTTCTTTTCATACAAACCCAAAATAAGCACATGTTAGATTACAATATAAAAGCCAAGAACAACAAAAGGAGAAATAACCCATATACATGTCATGAACACAATTCATTTTGGCATATATGATTTACGACCGGAATACCTAAATAAACATGAAAGCAAAGATCCAACTTTTTTCTCATTGTAACAATAAATTTGCTAACTTTGATTAAACCTAGAATTGCAATAAAACCAAGAACCCAATTACCATCCAAAGAGCACTCACTTTGTATAAGTATATTGAATAAAATTAATTAATCATTTAAAAGAACACATTCAGAGAGAGAGAGAGTTGACCAAAAGACTCACTTGACTCGAGCAAGTCTACGAGAGCGTTCTTCCTCAGCCATCAACTCATTTTTCAAGGACTTGCCTTCATCAACAGAGACACGACTGGCCAGAATCTTAGCGTTGTTTTTGATACCCAATTGGCTTAACTTTTCAGTGCCATCATCATCTTTCAATACTTTACCAGAACATATAAGTTGTATAGAGTCAGGACCTTCCGCGTTTGATCGCTTGGCTACCTCTTCCCTCAACATCGCCACCGTCCAATTCTCCAATTCTAACTCTATCACCCCTACCCATATACCCCCAATCCTCAATTTCGCCATGGCAGCAAAGAACTCTGTTTTTAGAGTGAAAAGAAAAGTGTGAGAGAGAATAAACTTCTCTAATAAGGATGGTGCCGTGTATATATATAGGCTAAGGAGAAAAAGGTTGTTTGGGTAACTTCGGGAGCAAGGTTCTGTTGTTTTTGCCGACTTCTACTTTGGTTTTTTCAGTGTCATACTTCAACCATGACTGCTGCTTTTGCTAATTAAATGCTAATATACCTCAATTAATCAATAAATAAATTTTTTTTATTGGTTATAATATCTCCAATCTCCTAAATTCTAATTATTTATACATGCCATAATTGAGGTTTTGCATTCATTAATGAAAAAAAAAAAAAAAACTTTAAAATTATCTTTAGAATTAAAGAAACTATAAATTGTTTGGATGTTTGGATTGTTGACGGCTACCCTATTTTTTTGCTCTTTTTTTAAGTGCTATTCTTCCGTTTATATTTCTTTCTTTTACTTTCATATTTGTTTCTATGATCAATCCCACTCTTCCATTATTTATAAATAATAAATATTTAAAAAATTATAAGAAATTATTTCATCTAGTACCAAGATTAGCATGACCATATATATCCCTTGGCCTATATTTGGATTAAAGACAAGTGAGAGAGGGAACAAAACAAGAAATAACAAGCCTTAAAAAATTAAATAACAAAATTAAACCAAACTAGTTTTATTCGGTAAGTGAATCATCAATTAATATATTTGTTACATATAATATTATTTAAAAAATTAAATGTCTTTCATTTCAAAATAAAATAATATATTTATAATTTAGATTAAGCCAAAAAGTGTGAGACTCAAGGGAAGATGAAGAGAAGCTGACGTCCGTCTCTGAAGAAGTGGTGGATGAGAGCGGGAGGAGGATCAGGGATGCCATTGCTCAGCATTTGAACAAGGTTAGTATGAAAAAATGAATGCCATAATTATATGCAGTTGTAGTTTGTTATCTACTTATTGGTAAATTGTATGTGAATACTTCAAAGGTATATAGGAATTGCTTTTGATCCATTTTGCTAAGGGAAATATGTTGGTATCTTAGGATCCAACATCCAAAACAGTTTCAAATATGCATGGTGTAGAAATCTAATGTACTAGTTCAAAGACTATCTGATCTTCAATGTTGCAAACGTCCCCACCAATAGCAGAAAGCAGCTAGTTAGACAACTTCAGATTAAAATACTTCATGTTTTAGTCACACATGAATACGAGCTTCTGTCAATTCCTAAACAGTAAGTCAGAGCAAAAGGTGAAGTTCAACAATTGCAATTCTTCCTCTCATTCAAGTATGGAGAACTAGAAGATGGAAATAAAGGGTGAGCTATATGAACGTTGGTAAATTGTTGGAATTAAAATTGACACAATTTTTTTGAAGCCATTCCAAATTTTTGGTTAGCCCTCTTAAGAACACCATTATAAAAGGCATTGCAAAGTATAAATATGAAACAATCATGTCTTTGACGCCACTAACTTTTCTCCTACCATTCAATGAATTTAAATTGAGTAAACCTAAATCTGTCGCGATGAGGTTCTTGTATCTAGATAAATTCACGAAAAAGATTCATTTAGCCAAAGCAAATAGTTAGTAACATGCAAATGATCGGTTATTCGATTGCATTGTCCAACTAACTGATATTTTTCACCTGATAATTGTTTTGCCTCACATTTACAAAGGAGTTTTTTTATCTCTTGACTCTTGCTAACCTACCCATCCATGACAAAGAGCTGCTACATTAGTGTGGACATCAAATTTATCTAGAAAAAAAATGCAAAATACGAAATATAAAAAAATACAAAATATGAAATATAAAAAATATATACAAAAAATAATACAAAATACCAAAAAATATACAAAAAAATAATAAAAAATAGAACAGAAAAAAGAAAAATCGAGGGTGGTAGTGGTGCCAGGAAAGGCACCACTGCCACCAGACCCTACACTCCACCCTTCTAACCACCATGCCCTACCCTCCACCCCTCTGACCACCATGCCCTACCACCCATCCTCTACCACTGTCAGATGTTGCCAAAAACAAATAAAAGAGGCATGGGACTCGTGCTTGCACCCCCATGCCTAGCCCTGTGCCATTCTCTTAGGCACAGGGTAATGCCAGAGCTCTATAAATAGAGCTCATGGTCGGACAACAAAGAAACACAGACAGAGGATGAGAGACGTTGCAAAAAGAATGAAAACAAAATTGTAAAAAAAAAAAAACAAGAAAAAAATATACACAGTCCTCCCCTTAAGGAGGAACCCAGTGCCTAAAGCTTTCTGCACAAAAAAAAGGGTCAGTTTAAAAAAAAAAAAGGAGTTAGAATACAAAAAAAAATATAGTTTAACCGAAACTTCAAGTTCGGATCTGAGAAATTTGGGACTCTTTTTGACAAAAAAAAAAGGGTTGGATCTGTGTTTAGGGTGTTGAGTAGAACATTTTAAGTGATTTTAGTTTTTTTCGGTTACCGACAATGACGGTCGACGACCGACAACGGCGACGGTGACGGAGACTGATCGACACCTGCGTTTGGCTGAAGAAAAAAAAAGAAGAAAGGATTTTTTTTTTTTTTGGAGAAGGAAGGATAATGGTTGAAAAAAAATTGAACATTTTATATAAACGGTGAAAACCAAAACGACGCCGTTTCAATAAACGCCCAAAACGATGTTGTTTTAAGCATTCAAGATCCGCGCATCAACCTGCAATCCGACCTGGGGTCCGTGCACTTGACCCGTAACCCGCTTCTCCATCAGCTTCTGACTGAACTGGAACCGAACCGTTGAGCCACGTAGACTGTGCCCAGATCGAGTCGAACAGCTGGATCGAATCGTTGAACCGAACCGCGCGTTAACCTAACTGTTGATCGGTCCGGTTCAGGTAAAAAATTTTTTTTTTGAATTTTTCTTATTTTTTATATATTATTTTATTAATATTTATGCATATTAAAATATTTATATTTGTTAGATTAAATGATGAAATATGTGGTTAAATTTTTTTTTATAATTTTGTTAATTTTTTAAAATAAACTTTAAAAACAAAATAATATAAAAATAAGTTTAATAATAATACTAAACTAATAAAAAATGTAGGAAAATAAAATTTTTATCCGACGATGAGATTCAAAAGTATTTTGAGTAGTGATACCTACGAAATCTCTAGGTGAGAAGATTTTTTTAAATACAATCAGTGTATTAGAATATTTATAAAAAAATTTCAATACAATAAAATTTTTTTTTTAAAAGTAATAAATAAAAATTGATTAATAAATTAAAAATATAAGTAATAAAAATAGGAAGAAAAAAAATTTTATCCAATGATGGGATTCTAAAAGTATTCCGAGTAGAGATACTTTAAAAAATCCCTAGGTGAGAAGATTTTTTGTAAAATATTACCAGTATATTAGAATATTTATAGAAAATCTTTAATATATAATTAAATTCCTTTTTCTTAAAAATTTTAGTTAAAAATAAATATTAATAAAATAATTAATAAATTTTTTAACAAAGGAAAATAAAATGTGTGCATAAACATGGTAACATTTTGCATTGTATGCATAACATTTTTTTAAGAAAAGTAAATTTGAGCCTCCGATGATGAGATTCTAAGGTGAGAAGCGATGCCTAAAAAATCTCTAAGTGAGAAAAAGTTCTTCTAATATTATCAATGTACTGGAACATTTTAAGAATTATTTCAACAAAAAGGTTTTAATTTATTTTTCTCAAGAATAAATTTTTTTTCTCTAATAAATAAAAATCAAGAAAATTATTTTTTCGAACACCGAAAATTAGACTATTTTTATCAAAATCAAAGGATAACACATTAATTGGTACCGTTTTTAACGGGCACTGTGAGGGTGCTAATCCTTCCCCACGCGTAACTGACTCCCGAACCCAGACTGTTTCGTAGACTGTAAAATTATCTTTTTAATAAATTTTAATTAATTTTAAAACTTTATTAAAATGAAATGTTTTAGTAGGTGGCCAATCGCACCTAGCCAAAAAAAGATTGGTGGCAACTCTGTTATTTTTTATTTCGTTTTCAAATTCGTCGAGCGGACACAAAACCGTTACGACAGCTTGGCGACTCCACTAGGGACTGCCTTTTATTTTCGAGAGTCAAGCCAAAATTAACTACTTGTTATCCTTAAATTTTGATTTAAACAGTCTTAATCAATTTTTTAAATTTTTATTTTTCATTTTCAGTAAAAAAGGGTAAAAAAAAGAACAAAACAAATCGAAAATAAAAAACAAAAAAATTCACACATATTTCTTTTACTATGCCTCTTCTGTTTTATTTTTCTGTATATATTTATTCTTAATAAATTAGGATATATTTGCACACAATAGTACGATGCATCTCATGCATGAGCTCTATACCCGAGCTCCATCTTTTATAGGAAAAAGTAAAGTACCTATGCTCTCGTGAGGTGATAACCTCGGCAATGGCAAGTGAAATACTTTCACTCGAATTGAATCATTTTCGTTCGTAGCCTGTAATGGGTGAGGATCGGATGACTTACTAGTACAACATGGATGACGGTGAGGAACAATTTGAAAACCTTTAGACCCTGGCAATCCAAATCCAACATATAATAAGCCTAAGAAACCAACCTTAGGTAGAACCTCGTCCACCTTCTTGTAAGAAGTACTTAAAAAGAAAAATTATGTGTAGTACAAAACAAAACAAAATATCCAAACAAAAAAAACAAAAACATTTTTTTTCAAACCACACTAACTAAATTTTGTTTCATTTTTTTTTGCATTAATCATATCATATAGTTCTGCATTGAGATATTTGCTCTAGGACATATTTCTCCCAAGAAGTTTTCATGGATCTTATAGAACTACAAATTTGCTCATCCTCAGTCAGTGTACCATGTGAGCTGTATAATGAAGTACATGTTTGGTCGAAAGAAGCTTAACAAAAGAACAGAGATTGTTTGCCTACCGGTTATGTGTATGAATTATCTGAGAAAGTACATTTAGATCTCACACAGAATGATTTAAAAGAGTTAGCTGCTGTCTGGGGTCAGTTAAGTGAAGAAAGAAAAGAAAGCTTTTGTAAAAAGTATGGATAGATTGCATCCCTCATTTCAGTAGTGATCAATGAACAATTAGTCAAGGTAGCTATACAATTTTGAGATCCATTCTATAGATGCTTTACTTTTAATCAAGAAGATTTGGTGCCAACTATCAAGGAGTATTCGATTTTACTTGGGATAAAACTATAATATCCAGATAAAGTATTTATCCGAAAGTCAAAATCAGGTTATCGTAAAAAGTTAGCCAAGCTTATGAGGGTTAAAGTAGAAACCATCGATTCCTTTGTGAAGCCTAAAGGTGAACATCTCGGCGTTCATTGGGACTTTCTTTGAAACTTTATTTAGGAGCATTTAAATGATGATCAAGGTATGGCTGCGTTTGCTTTAGCATTGTATAGCATGGT